TATTTTTAGCTGTGTTGGGTCTTTGTTGCTGCGTGCAGGCTTTCTCTAGTTGCGTTGAGCGGGGGCTACTCTTCGTTGCGGTGAGCGGGCTTCTCATTGTGGTGGCTTCTCTTGTTGCTGAGCACGGCTCTGGGCACCGGCTTCAGTAGTTGTGGCTCGTGAGCTCTAGAGCGCAGGCTCAGTAGTTGTGGTGCACGGGCTTAGTTGCTCTGCAGCATGTGGGATCTTCCTGGACCAGGGCTCAAACCCGTGTCCCCTGCATTGGCAGGAGGATTCTTAACCACTGCGCCACCAGGGAAGCCCCTCTTTAAGGAGGATTTCTGACTGTTAGGAAATCATGTATTTGTTTGGTGAAGCTGTTAGCAACGCTCTTCTGAACCACTGCGCCAGGGAAGCCCCTCTTTAAGGAGGATTTCTGACTGTTAGGAAATCATGTATTTGTTTGGTGAAGCTGTTAGCAACGCTCTTCTGATATTTTTTCTCACCCAAACTGTCTTTATTTTGTTTGTTTGAAAATTCTCTTTATCATATCCATTAACTGTTGACAGATCAACAGAGTCTGTTAAAAACAGCAGAATGTCACCGTTTGTATAGCCTTGCTTATATAGGATTTTTATCAGCCATAAACAGCAGGAGTTGTGTGGGAATTTGGGAGCAAACAGCACTTTGAGATGCAGGTGGCACTCGAAGTGCAGAAGTTCTGGTAGGAGTAGGACTTGAGTACTATTTGAAATTTAGAGAGTGAGTCTCAGTTTTAAGGTTGATACTGAGTTAACATGGGCACAAGGTGCTGAGAGCAGGTTTTACAAATGCAGGAAAGAGATGGATAAGAGAGGCGTTTTGAGCACTTGGTCTCCGGACTGCAAGGAACCCCAGGTGTTATCTGGTCAAAGGAAGGAGAATGGAGTCGTGGTGAAGAACATGAGCCCTGGGAGCTTTGTAGTCGAATACTAGCCGTGTGACCTTGGGCAAGTTCTCCGACCTCTCTGTACAACTATAAAATGGGGAGGTTAAATAGTAAGGTCTTTTGCTGTTACAAGGAATAAATGATATGTACACTGCTTAAAATTTAGCCAGTGCTCAATATTACTTCAGAGCTTCCCAAACCATCTGTCAGTCCCAATTTAATGGGTTACAGCTGTACTAATCCCCTCAGACGCTGAGTCATACAAATACTATTTTCTCACTATGCTGTAACGTGAAGGAGTTGGGAGGTAGCTGTTATCGGTACTGCGTATTCACATCCTGGGACCTCAGGGCAGACAGAGGTGTGCTTCTGCTCTACCTCCCTCCATATCCATTGGCTCTACTTTTTATATTGGGGTGTGCTTAAAATTTCTTAATATTTATAATTTCCTCTTTATTATTATAAAAGCAACATATGTAGATTGCTATATTACCACTATTAACATCTTGACGTTTATTCTTTCAGATATGTCTATGTATCTATTTATATATATTTGGTACCAAAGTGGGGAGGGCATATTTGCTTTTTGTTCAAACTCACAGGAGATCATTCTCTAATATTCTCCTGTAGCCTAGTGTTTTCAGTTAGTGGTCTTCACTGTTCCATTAATTTCTGTTTAATTAATACCCAGTCCCCCCAAAATGTATCCAGTTGTCCCACAGATCTCCCTTTGTGGCTGATATATCCAGTGTACATACAGTTTTATTTAGAGAGGTACTGTTCATCCATCTGCTTCCCAGCTTCCAAAATTTTGTTGCTATTGTAACATCTCCTGTTCTCTTTGTCCTTATGGTTAAAAAAAGAAATCCCTTTATAATATTGTCTTAGTGGGATTTCATGAGGGAGCAGAGGTAAATGCATTTGTTTAGTATGACTTCTTTGAACACTCCTGTTAGCTGGTTGTCTAGCTGTTGCTCTGAAGCCTTGAGGGATGAGGTGGGCGTTCCTTCTGGAGCCTCCTAATCCATCTTTATACCCCACTAACAGCAGACACATCCATCTTTTTTTATTTTGATGAAGCATAAGTATTTTAATAATTTTATAAAATATTGATCTCATTTTATTTTATTTATTTCTTACTGAATTTTATTTATTTTTATACAGCAGGTTATTTATTTATTTATTTATTTGTTTATTTATTTATTTATTTATTTTGCGGTACACGGGCCTCTCACTGTTGTGGCCTCTCCCATTGCGGAGCACAGGCTCCGGACGCGCAGGCTCAGCGGCCATGGCTCACGGGCCCAGCTGCTCCGTGGCATGTGGGATCTTCCCGGACTGGGGCACGAACCCATGTCCCCTGCATAGGCGGGCAGACTCTCAACCACTGCGCCACCAGGGAAGCCCTGTTTATTTTTTTAATTGGAGTACAGTTGCTTTAAAATGTTGTGTTAGTTTCTGCTGCACAGTGAAGTGAATCAGCCATACACATACCCACATCCCCTGCCTCTTGCACCTCTGTTCCCCGCCCTGCCTCCATCCCACCCAACTAGGCCATCACATAGCACCGAGCTGAGCTCCCTGTTATACAGCAGGTTCCCACTAGCTATCTGTTTTACACATGGTAGTGTATTTATGTCAAACCTAATCTCCCAATTCATCCCACCCTCCCCTTCCCCACCATGTCCAAACATCCGTTCTCTACATCTGCATCTCTGCTCCTGCCCTGCAAGTAGGTTCATTTGTACCATTTTTCTAGATTCCCACACATATGCATTAATATACGATATTTGTTTTTCTTTCTGACTTCACTCTGTATGACAGACTCTAGGTCCATCAGCATCTCTACGAATGACCCAATTTCATTTCTTTTTATGGCTGAGTAATATTCCATTATATATGTACCACATCTTCTTTATCCATTCATCCAGACACGTCCATCTTTATGATGAGCTTTTCCCTCTAGCTTCTATTCTAATGACCTTAACTGCTCCTTCCCGTTACAACCCATCAGGTATTTGAAGAGGAGTCTGTTACTCCCAGTCATCTTTTCTCCTCACTGAAGATTCCATGGTCCTTCAGCTCTTCTCACAGGGCAATTTCTAGTCTTCTCTTCATCAGGATTTCCTTCCTCTGATCTCTTCTATTTCATTTACTTTGGGTGTGTGACTTCCCAGCTAAGCTCAGCTTTCCTGATTGGGTCTAATCAGAAAAGAACAGGATGGTATCTTCCCTCCTTCTGAGCATTATGCCTTCATTAGTGTAGCCTTTGATAGCTTTTTGGATTAATGTAGCCTGTTAACTCTTTGGATAATCCCCCAAAAGAAGTAGAGGCAAAACGAATGCTATAATCTCTCTCTTTTTTTAAAATAACTTTATTTATTTTTATTTTTGGCTGCACTGGGTCTTCATTGCTGTGCACAGGCTACCTCTAGTTGCGGAGAGCGGGGGCCACTCTTTGCTGCGGTGCGTGGGCTTCTCACTGTGGTTGCTTCTCTTGTTGCAGAGCACAGGCTCTAGGCACGTGGGCTTCAGTGGTTGTGGCACGCAGGCTTTGGTAGCTGTGGCTCACGGGCTCTAGAGTGCAGCCTCAGTAGTTGTGGTGCACGGGCTTAGTTGCTTCACAGCATGTGGGATCTTCCCGGACCCGGACTCGAACCCGTGTCCCCTGCATTGGCAGGCAGATTCTTAACCACTGCGCCACCAGGGAAGCCCCAATCTTTTTTTTTTTAAATTGGAGTATAATTGTTTTACAGTGTTGGGTTAGTTTCTGCTGTAGAACAAAGTGAATCAGCTATATGTATACACATGTCCCGTCCCTCTTGAGCTTCCCTCCCACCCCCCTCCCCAAGAATGCTGTAATCTTTCTCCCACATTCTACCTCTAAACTCTGTCCCCCTTCCTGCATTTCTGTCCATGGTTTTTGGATCCAAACACAGGAATTTGCATATGTTCCTATTAAACACTGCATTGTTCAGAGGTCTGTGATGGAAATAGGGGTATTTGTGTCAGTCATGAATCGTCAGTGGGACATTTCCATTTTTCTTGGAGGGGGAAAGTAAGGAAACAGGTCAGGAGTTTTAAGAAAGAGAGAGGATTACTTAGAAAGGAGGTAGAAGACTCCTAAAGTATTTCATGGTGAGGGATGTTTGTGAGTGAGTGTATCTGCAGGAAGAAAGAAGCCCCTGATGAAGGAGGGCTTGAGATCTGGGGAGAGGGGCAGCTGCTGGGTGAGGAAAGTCTTTAGGATGTGAGAGAGGGTCAGGGACACAAGAGGAGGTAACAGTGCAGATTAGAAAGGAGAAGAGAACCACTTTGCACTGCTCCTGTGCTTTCACTATACTGGGCTCTGTGCCAACGTTACTTAATCCAGGCAGCAGTCTGTGAGTTTGGTAATATTTGCTCCATTGTTCAAATCAAGAAGCTGAGGCTTACGGAGGCAAAGAAATGTGTGTAAAGTCACATGGCCAGTTAGTGACAGAGCAGGATTCAAGCCAAATCCCATGCTGTACCCGGTTCCCCAGATGGCCCAACATGAACAGGGAGCAAATTCGATTATGGTTAAAGGTTAGTGAAAACAGGGCTTCCCTGGTGGCGCAGTGGTTGAGAGTCCTCAGCGGGAGAAGCCACAACAGTGAGAGGCCCCCGTACTGCAAAAAAAAAAAAAAAAAAAAAAGGTTAGAGAAAACATGAAGTAGATAAACCAAGTTAGCTCTCGTGTCCAAAGAGTGTTTAAAAGAAAAAGCCCAGATAAACCTGAGGTGCTACCGTAAGCCAATGCTTTGTTTTTGGCACTTTGTAAGCAGTTGAACATTTTTGCAGTGGTTGCTTTCTTCTGAAATTATTTGGGGGAAGGGAGCTTACTCTCTTGAAAGAGATGAGATGATGAAATTGTGCATACATGTAGCAATACTTATACACACACTCTGCAGAGCATAGTGAGTTACTATCCTGAATGTATTTGTTCTTTGAATGATGTATAGGAACTCTTCCCACAACAACAATAACAACCAAAATCACTGGTCTTGGGAAGTGTCAAAAATATTATTCGGGATTTGGAACAGACCTGATTTTCTTGCATCTTGTCTTTTAGGCCTTTGCCCAGTTTGATGCCGAGGGTGATGGTACCGTTGATGCTGAGAACATGTTGGAGGCTCTCAAGAATTCCAGTGGAGCTAATCTTCAAGGGGAGCTGAGCCATATCATCAGACAGCTGCAAGCCTGTTCTCTTGTTCCAGGTAAGGCTGTCATCTGAATGCTGAATGCTGAAGAACGCTCTCTTAAAGCCCAAGTGAACTTTGCTATAATGTGGGTTGTAATTAGGCAAGCTTGTGGGCACCATGAAATAAATGTGCTTCTCTGATAGTCGTCATTAAGCTCGTGGTCTGAATTAGTGTTCAGTATAATCATTTCTCTTGCTTCCTAGTACAGTGTTGGTTGAGCAGTTCTACCATGTTTTTATGAACCTTTGTCATGAGACTGCCTTCCTTAGTGGATCTCTTTATTTCAGTCTCTCAGGAAGCCTTCCTTGGCCCCAACTGTATGTTCTCTTAGCATCCTGCATTTGTTTTTTGCAACATACTACCGTTGTAATTAATTAATTAATTATTACTCACTTATTTGTAAATGTCTGCCTTCACTCTTATCCTGTGAGCTCCACGAGCGCAGGGAACCTTCTCTTTTATTTCTGTTGTGTCCTCACATTTAGTACAATTTTTGGCACTTGGTAGGCACCCAGTGTTTTTTTTAGAAAGCTCTCACTCTGAAATTTAAGTAAGAATAAAAATAGCTTAAAATTAAGCAGTACTTCTACATTATACCTATGAAAAAATTTTGTCTATCTTTTTTTTTTTTTTTTTTTTTTTTTTTTCTTT